TCTTCTCTCTCTGACTTAGCCTACTTTTGAGGCTCATCCAAACTGTAGCATGTATTGTTAATTTTTTTTTTATGGCTGAATAATACTCCATCGTATGCATATATCACGAATTGTTTATCCAGTCACCCGTTGATGGACATTTGAGTTGTTTCCACCTTTGGGATATCATGAATAGTGCTGCTATGACCATTCTTGAAAATGTATTTGAATACTTGTTTTCAATTCTTTGGGGAAATACCTAGGAGTAGAATTGCTGGGTTGTACAGTAATGTGTAATTTTTTTGAGTGTTTTCTACCACTAGCGTACAAAATTCCTATTTCTTCACATTGTAGCCAACATTGGTTTTTCCTTTAAAAGAAAAGAAAAAAAAAACTTATACCCAGAGTGCCTGGGTGGCTCAGTGGGTTAAGTGTCTGACTTTGACCCAAGTCATGATCTCACTATTCATGGATTTGAGCCCCAGAGTTGGGCTCTGCACTGCCAGTACAGAACCTGATTGGGATTCTTTCTCTCCCTCTCCCTCCCTCTCTCTCTCAAAATAAATAAGTAAACCTAAAAAGAAAAAGAAAACTTATACCCATCCTAATGAATATGAAATAGTATATAATTTTGTTTTCATTCAGTAAACATTTACTGGGTGTGTCAAATGTACTAGGTATTGAAATTACAGCTAGACTATCTTTTCATGACTGGGTTATTTCACTTAGCAACACTCTTCAAGGTCCATCTATATTGTGGTATATTATGGAATTTCCTTCCTTTTTAAGGCCACATAATAGTTCTTATGTGTATATACCACATTTTGCTTATCCATTCATTAGTGGGTGGATACTGGTTGGCTTTCATTTTTTAGTTATTGTGAATAATGGTGTATGAGCATAGGTGTACAAATACCTCTTTGAGATCCTGCTTCCAGTTCTTTTGAATATATACACAGAAGTGGAATTACTGGATCACATGGTAATTCTTTTAATTTTTGAGGAGTCACCATATTGTTTTACACAGTGGATGTACCATTTTACATTCCCACCAACAGTGCACAAGGGTTCCAATTTATCTAAATCCTCCCTAGTCCTGTTTTGTTTTTTAGACAGTAGCCATTCCAGTGGGTGTGAGGTGGTTTCTTATGGTAGTTTTGATTTGCACTCCCCCAATGATTAATGATATTGAGCATCTTTAATTAAAAAAAATTTTTTACAGTTTATTTTGGAGAGGATAGAGAAAGGGAGAGAGAACCTCAAGCAGGCTCTGAGCTGTCAGTGCAGAGCCCGATGTGGGGCTTAATCCCATGAACTGAGAGATCATGACCTGGGGTGATATCAAGAGTTGGACACTTAACTGACTGAGCCACCCAAGCACCCTGATATTGAGCATCTTTTAATGTGTTTATTGGCCACTCAGATATCTTCTTAGGAGAAATGTCTATTCAAGTCTTTTGCCTGTTTTTGAATTGGATTTTTGTTGTTGAGTTTTAGTTCTTTATGTATTCTGGATATTATCTGTTATCAGTTATATGACTTGAAAATACTTTCTCCCTTCTGGGCTTGCCTTTTTACTATGCAGATAGTGTCTTTTGGTGTCCTTTTAAAAAAATTTTTTAGGGGGCGCCTGGGTGGCTCAGTCAGTTAAGCGTCCGACTTCGGCTCAGGTCATGATCTCACAGTTCATGGGTTTGAGCCCCGCGTTGGGCTCTGTGCTGACAGCTAGCTCAGAGCCTTTGCCTGCTTCGGATTCTGTGTCTCCCTCTCTGTCTCTCTCTGACCCTCCCCTGCTCATGCTGTCTCTCTCTCTCTCAAAAATAAAAACATTAAAAAAATTTTTTTAGGGTGCCTGGGTGGCTCAGTTGGTTGACATCCAACTTCAGCTCAAGTCATGACCTCACAGTTCATGGGTTCAAGCCCTGCGTCGGGCTCCGTGCTGAGCTCAGAGCCTGGAGCCTCTTTCAGATTCTGTCTCTCACTCTCTCTCTCTGACCCTTCCCTGCTCACACTGTCTCTCTCTCAGAAATAAGTAAAACATTAAAAACATTTTTAATTGTTTTTTGTCCTTTTTAAATTCTAAATTTTAAAAAAATGTTTGTCTGTTTTGAGAGAGAGAGAGATAGAGGGGATGGGCAGAGAAAGAGAAAGCGAGAGTACCGAGCAGGCTCCATGCTGTCAGCGCAGAGCCTGGAGCTGGGCTCCATCTCACAAACTGTGACATCATGACCTGAGCTGAAATCAAGAGTTGGACACTTAACCCACTAGCCATCCAGGTACCCCAGCCTTTTTTTTTTTTTTTTAAGTGTTTTGTTGAAACACCAGTGAAGCTTTGTGGTCCTGGGCTTTTCTTTCTTTTTTTAAGATTTATTTATTTTGAGAGAGAGACAGAGAACATGTGAAAGGGGCAAGTAGGGCAGAGGGGGAGAGAATCTTAAGCAGGCTCCATGCTCAGTGCAGAGCCTGATGCCATCTTATGACCCTGGGATCATAACCTGAGCTGAAATCAAGAGCCCAGCACTCAACCAACTGAGCCAACCAAGCACCCTGGGAGTTTTTTGAATACTGATTCAATCCCCTTACTAGTTGTAGGTCTGTTCGTGTTTTCTTTCTCTTCTTTGAGTCAATTTTGTTGGTTTCTGTGTTTCTAGAAATTTATACATTTTAGTTAGGCTACCCAATTTGTTGGTGTACGGTTGCTCACAATATTCTCCTATAATCCTTTCTATTTCTGTAAAACTGGTAACAATGTCCCCATTTTAATTTCTGGTTTTGATAATTTGTCTTTTTTCTTTTAATCAATTTATTTAAAAGTTTGCCAATTTTGTTGACCTTTTCAGAGAAGCAACTCTTGGTTTTCTCTGATGTTTTTTAGGATTCTGACACCAATTCCAACGTGTGCATTTATTCCACGGCCACCAAGCAGTTCTCCAACAATAACTGGGAGTCCTAAAATTCAACTCAATTCTGAAACTACCTGGAGACAGCATCAGAAGCACTGTCTGCCTTGAAATCAGTCAGCGCCTTTTGGAACTGGAGCTGCTGTCCCTATAACCCTGAGGAATGGGGGATGATGGCTGGTTCAAGTCCAGCTCTTCCTTCAAGTATTTTTCTTGTTGTCTGATCAGGCATCAGAGTTCTGAAATAGTTGATGACAATTGCTTTTTCCAGCTCTTTGTATTTAGGTCTGCCAGAGTTGTTTTGTTGTTGCTTTGTAACCATCACAGCTATTTCAAAAACTTTATTTTTTACAGATTTTATTTTTAAGTAATCTATACACCCAACGTGGGGCTGAAACTCATCACCCCAAGATCAGGAGTTATCATACTCTATCTACTGAGCCAGCCCACTTCTAAAACTTTAAATTTAAAAAAATTTTTTTAATGTTTTATTTATTTTTGAGAGAGAGAGAGAGAGAGACAGTATGAGCAGGAGAGGGAAAGAAAGAGAAGAAGACACAGAATCCGAAGACAGCCTCCAGGCTCTGAGCTAGCTATCAGCAGAGAGCCTGACACAGGGCTTGAACCCACAAACTGCGAGATAATGACCTGAGCCAAAGTTAGAGGCTTAACCGACTGAGCCACCCAGGCGCCCCAAAAACTTTAAAATTTCTAAAACTTTATTTTTATTTTTTTAACGTTTATTTATTTTTGAGAGACAGAGAAAGACAGAGCATGAGCAGGGAAGGGGCAGAGAGAGAGGGAGACACAGAACCCGAAGCAGGCTCCAGGCTCTGAGCTGTTAGCACAGAGCCCGATGCAGGGCTTGAACCCATGGACTGCAAATTCATGACCTGAGCTGAAGTTGGAGGCTTAACCGACTGAGCCACTCAGGCGCCCCAAAATTTCTAAAACTTTAAAATCACCCCAGGCAGAGGGGGATGGGGGAGATAAATGAAGGGAATCAGGAGTACCCTTATCGTGGTGAGCACTGAGTAATGTACAGAAGTGTTGAATCACTATATTGTACACTTGAAACTAACATAACATTGTATATTAACTATACTGAAATTTTTTAAACAGGGGGAAGAATTTATGTCGAGAGAAAACAAATCACCTCAGACAAAAACTCTATAACCATTAAGCAACAACTCCATTTTCTCCTGGTAACTTCTATTATATTCTACTTTGTCTCTATGAATTTGTCTATTCTAGATACCTCATTTAAGTGGAATCATACAATATTTGTCTTTTGTGTCTGACTTATTTCCCTTAGGGGTCATAAGTTCCTAACCTGTAATGCTGACGCATTAGGTTCCCACAACTGGGAATTTAGTTATTGTCCCTACTTTAAAGAAACTGGACACAGAAAGGCTGGGTAATTTGCCCAAGATCACTCAGCTGGTAAGGAGGGCAACTGGCCAGCCTGACTTCACCCTTAACTTGATGCTGCACTTCCCGTCACCAGACCTCCTTGGTTCAAGGCAGCAGCAAAGGGGTCCAGATCCCATAACCAAGAGCATTACTTCCTCCCCATGAGACTCGTTCCTCCAGATATACTGGGGGCAGCTGGGCATGCTCAGCCTGAAGCATGAGGGTGCTCACCCTCATTCCCTGTGCCAGCCCCATGCTGGGCCCTGCAGAGACAGACGAACTCCCATGCAGTAGTGGGAGAGGGGAAGTTCAGGAGGCCTCACCCAAGCTGCAGGTCAAGAAAGGAAGACTTTTAGGAGAAAGTGCTCTTGAAGTTAAGACCCAAAGGTCACTGATTATTTGTCTTGCTTGCTGGGAGTTCCCTGTATGGCTATACCTGTTTACCCATTTGCTTTCCTGTCTATGGCATTTGGGTTGTGCTCAGGTTAGAGGCTGTGGACAGAATTGCAGTGATAGCATTCTTGCTAGAGTGTCCCTGTGTCCTATGAGGGGGCACATGCATAAGGATAGTATTTCTCAGTCTGAGTTGAGGTCAAGGTCCCACTTTAGAAAATTATGCAAAATGCTTTTTTAAAGTGTTGGGTGCAAATTTACACTCCCAGAGCCAGAAAGACAGGGTTCTATCATTTTTATTTTACATAGAAGTCTTCCCCCCAATCCTCTCCCCATTGCCACCCCCTCATTCCTGACCCTGCTTGGCTCTGGCCATGCCTAGCAGCAAGTCAGAAGCTGGCAGAAGTTTGGGCAGGCTGAAGTTGCCTGAGAAGCCTCAAGCACTTTGGTCCATACAGTCAGCAAAAAAGACCCTAATCTGGAGAACCAGAAGCAGCCCAGCTACATCTGGCCATGAACAAGAAACTTTAACAAAGAGCAGGTCCTGCTGGTCTCACATCAGCAGTCGCACGTAGGCCCAGTACGGTAGACCCAGTATGGTGGGGGTGGGCAAGGCAAGTTTGGAAAAGCACAATCCCTGTGCCTCACCCCTACCCCCATTTTTTTGTCTCCCCTCACCCTCAGGGCTGGTTCCATCCTCCGGTCGGAAGAGGGGCTATGCCCCCAAAACCTCCTGCGGAGGCAGTCCTGGCCTATAGGCACTGAGCAGACTCACTGTTCTCACTACCAAAAGAAGGCATCCATCTTGGCCTGGGAGGGAGGGAGCGGTGTCCTCACCCTGACTCTCTGCTTAGCCTTGGGCCTGGGCTTAACAGGCAGTGGGCGGATCATAGTTGTGTCAGTCTGAAGAAAATGTCAAGGAAGAAGCCTAAAGAAGAGACTGGAATGCAGGCCGGCAAAGGCTCAGAGTGGGAGGTGGGCAGCTCTGCTATACTGAGTGAGGTCTGACTCTGCACACCTTAGGCTGCAGCCACTGCCAGCCTGGGGTTTGAAGGTACAGCTGAGGGATGGTATGGGTAGCTCTGCTCAGCCCAATGCCACAGAACAAGGATACAGGTTGGATGAATTTTGTCCGACCTCCAAGCCCATCGAAGCCAGTCCTTACCTAAAGCAGAAGGAAGACGTGAGTGGGCCAGGTTAAAAAGGTGGGGAGCTGGCCCCCTCCCCTCCCCCTTGCCAAAGGCTGGCACTTGCCAGTTGTGGGAAGCCATACTCACGGCATCTGTGCTGTGACGGGGCTCTGCTGTGGCCCTCTTGGGCTGTTTCTGGCCCAGGACAGCGTTCCGGATGAAGACGGGAAAGGCACTAGCCAGCTCCTCATCTGGCTCTCCCACAAAGTGCTGGCCGCCCAGAGAGAGCTGGGACTCCTGGGGGGAGACCCCAAAGCCAGACTTGATGAGAGAGATGGCAGCAAAGGGGCGGGTAGGGGTGGTGGAGCAGGACCAGGATCTCTGATGCTTCACCAGGAGGCAGGTAGGAGAGTGAGTGGAGTTCCCAGGGTGGCTTCATAATGTCTTAGTCCCAGGCCAGGAGTGAGAGGCCTCTGGCAACACCCTGCCCTGTCAGAAGTCCAGCTTCACACTCAGTCCTGGCAAGGGTTGGATGAGGACTGCCTGACCTCTTCAGGGAAGCCTTACCTGCTTGGGGCCTTTGGGCACCTTCTTAGGGATGTCCTGAACAGGAGAGCTGTGAGAATGAGACACAAAGACAAGAGGCAGGTGAGCAAGACACAAGGCCGGGCAAGCCAGGCTCAGCACATGGCCCTTGGGTATCCACCATGTGGCACTGCTGCTGCAATGGCTGTATCCTGGGCAAGGGACCTTGGCGAGTGCCACCCCGAGTGCAGGTCTATGAACAGCTGTTTGTTACAGCTGCCAGAGTGGAGGAGGAAGGGGAAGTTGGCCCATTTTTTATTTTGTGGCTTGCACTTGGGGCCAAGCCAATTCCAATCCTCCTCACAGCCTTAGGTGTCTCACTATGTCCTGGGCTCTATGTGTGGCTGGAGGCCCAACTGATTCACCAACCACAGGGGAAAGCCAGTCATGTCCTGATATAGGCAGAAGGCACCTCATGAGCTCAGACTTAGCCCTATCTGCCCAGAGGGGGGCCACCATCTCCATAATACCTTCAGTAGATAGTCCATAAAGTACTCTCACAACACAGGACTAGGCCATCTACCTAGGTAATCTGTGTAGGCATAGTCAGGGGCAGAATGGATCACAGCTCCAAGTCCTGGCCTTTCACTCACAGCTCCAGAGCTAGACACAGTGTTTCCATCCAATCCCTGGGGACACTACCAGATGAACACCCTCTCCTGGTATTTTCCCAGGTAGGTGGAAGGAGGTTGACCTAAAGGCTGACCCTGTGTTTTCTCATAGCCATGAAGACAAGAGCAGGATCAGGTCTATCACCTCTGGATCCCTTCACTCCTGTCCCCATAGCCTGTGGTGAGGCTACATGGAGATGATGGGAAGATTCTCCGCTTGCTGCAAGTTTGGCTCTCGGGAGGCTGATGCAGGGTAGAAGCAGCCTGGGCTCCCTCACAGTCCGTGCATGCCCTAAAGATGATAAAAATGTCTCTAAAAGACCTGGCAGCCTGCAGGCCCCAGGTATCCACTTTCACCCTTTCCAGTTAAAGAAGAGACAACATGAAGAAGCCAGGCTGTGCAGCAGGCGCTATCAGGCCCCCTGACTGCAGCCCACATGCCCAAGGTTTGCTTCCCACTGAGGATGGGGAGGGGTGAAGCTCAGATGGCTTTCCCTTTTGCTCTCTCCCTGGCCTCTTCCATCTTCATTGCCTAACACCTCAATTTCTTTCTCTCATGTCCGAGGTTTCTGATTAAAAGGGAACTGCTCAGCCCTTGACCCCCTCACCTTAGCAATGTATACCTACATGTACGTAGGGGAGTAGTTCTTGTCTCCCTGATGAACTATACTTGGTCTGTGTGGCCAAGGAGACAACCTCCCCATTCCCAGTCCCACTGTGTCCCCAGTACAGGTCCTGCCCATCCCATTATAGCTCCCCACAGTTTCTCAAGCCTGCCCCTGTGGGCTACCCCCTTAGATGCTGGGGCCCTGGTCACCATGATTTGAGATGGTCCTCAAGCATGAACCTGAGAGGCACACAATGGAAGAAGAACTTCAGAGTCCCTGACTCAGGACTCTGGTGGGCAGGCATTCAAGGTATGGGGAGTACACACATACCCCAACACCATCAACCCAGTCCTACCCCTAGTGGGACACTTGTGTGCTCTCCAACTCACATCCCAACACTTTTGCTTGAAGGGTGATAGTGATGACTGAAAGAAGCAAGAGAAGGGCTTCGCACAGAGTGAGTACGCAGGAAAGGGAAGAAGAGGTGGCTAGAGCCAAAGTAATAGTCAACCCCAGGTGACCCTTACTGCCCTATCAGCCACTCAGAGCAACTAGCGCAGGGCCTGTGGACACCTCTTGGTATCCTCCCTCCAGGCTGTGGACAGAGCCAGGCACTACCACTTACTGTGCTATCTCTTGGCAGAGATTCTTGGCACGGCTCCGCTGGCTGCTGGCAGGCTGGGCTGGAGGGGTGTCCACATCAAAGGTGGCATTGAGGTCAATTTCATCACCAAAGGCTGGTCGGCGAAGCTTCAGGTTCAGCATATCCATAGGGGCTGGGCTATAGGCAGAGATGGCCTGGTTACTCTAGACCACTGTGGCAGTCCAGAAGGACAACAGCCCCTGCAGCATCAGAGATGGCTTGGTTCCAAGGGTCTGGAGGCCACACATGGTTCAGGGCCACCCTGCAAGGAAGCCTGAATCTCTATAGAAAAAAACCACTTGGCTTAGTGCTTCACACAGTGGTGGGACCAGTGAAAGTCTTCAAGACACGGAAGCAAGCAAAACCACACACAAAACCCAAGCGTACAAACAAAAGGTTACTGCCTTTTGACCAAACAGCCTCATTGCTCAGAATGCAGTGCAAGGGGCCAGAGAGGTGACCACAGATTGATGTAGATGGCACATGGCCCAATATTGGAAATGATCAAAATGACTCCCCTAGGGGACTGGCATTTTCATAGCCTGACTATGATACAGGCATTACAGTAGTTTTTCTGGAAAGTAAGCTAAGTAACATGGGGAAATGCTCCTATGTTGCATTTATAAAGTACGATGAGGGCACCTGTGTGGCTCAGTCAGTTGAACATCCATCTCTTGATTTTGGCTCAGGTCATGATCCCAGGGTGTGGGATCGAGCCCTGTGTTGGGCCCCGTTCTCAGCAGGGAGACTGCTTAAGATTCTCTGTCTCTGTCTCTCTCTGTCTCTCTCTCCCTCTGCTCCTCTCCACAACTTGTGCACTCTCTCTCTAAAAAAAAGAAAATAATAATAATAAAATAATAAAAAGTAATACAGAACTGCCTGGGTGGCTCAGTCAGTTAAGTGACTCTTGGTTTTGGCTCAGGTCATGATCTCACAGTTCATGAGTTCGAACCCCACATCAGGCTCTGTGTTGACAGTGTGGAGCCTGCATGGGATTCTTTCTCTCCCCTTCTCTCTCTGCCCTTCCTGCCCCCTCTCTCTCTCTCTCTCAAAGTAAACAAACAAAAAGAGAAAAAGAAAAAAAAGAAAACTGCAGCCAATAGGATTTTTCTAGCCCATCTAGACCTGGTGGAGCTCCCTAGCTCCTGTGGTCAGAAAACTCTGGGGGAATGGCAGGGCAGTCCCAAGAACATCCCTATTTCCTTCCCTTAGGAAGGAACCTTTTTAGGGCTGCCCAAAGCCCTATGCCCACTGCTCAAGGACAGGGGGATCCATTGTGAGTGTATTAGTCACTGGCCAGGAGCCCACTGGGTCATGCAGATCAGAGAAAAGGGAATTAACTACCCGCACTGATTTGGATGGCTAAGCAATGTGGGAAAACTGGACTATCTCTTCCTTTCCCTGGCCAGGTCCCTGGACACTCTACCCTTTCTTGCTTGCAAGTGAAAAGAAATGTCGTACAAACACACCTCAAACCAACGCCATGTTGGTTGCTTTGCTTCCCAGCCCACTGAGAACTACAGCATAAAGCAGCGGCCGCGAGCAGTCATGACAACATTTTTGTAGTATCTGTTATTCTGCCACTACCTACCACCCCAGAGGGCCAACAAACCTCATCACACCCTGCTCTCCGCAACCAAGTGACAACCCCCAGCCAGCCCGAGCTGATGCCCTGGCGGCTCCTGCATGCCTCATCCCTGAGAGCCAGGGCTCACCCCTCACAAAAACTTCTGGGTACAAATGGCACAAGCGCTACTTTTCTTGCCATGGGATTTAGCCTGTCATGCTGTGTGGCCAGGGGGCTTTGGGGCTTAGCCATCTAACCCCCCAGCTTGTCTACCCCACGAGAACACAAGCTCCCAGAGGACCGAGAGGGCCTGATATGCAGCATACGCTCAGTAAGAACCTGTTATAGAAGTCTAGGCCTCACTCCAGCCTGTAGTGGTAATGAAAGTAAGCAAAAGCAGGTCTCTGGGAGTTTGGAGGCATCCCTCACTGTGGATGTTGGACACAGAGGACAAGTGTGTGGAAATAGTCTGAGGACCATGGAATGGGAAGTGGAGGGAGCACCGTAGAGCTCGTAGATAGCAGCCCTGAGTGATATCCTAGCAGAAGGATTTCTACTCCCTGCCTTGAGGAAGCTTAAGTTCTAAATGTTTGACCACTTTGAGACTATCAGCTCCCTAAGAATCAAGCTCCTGACAGGGCTCTTGAGCTACCTGGGGCTTCCAAGCTGGCACAGCCAAAGGGCTCTGAGGGTGGAGTGCGAAGGAAGGTTCAGACACAGAGGCTAATTCATCAAAATCAGCCACACACTGGACCTCACAGACAGTCACGTGTCCATCACACCCCCACAGCTGCTTCTCAGTCCAGCCAAAACTGAGGTGGGCAGGCAGCTCTGGCTCTATAAAGAGACATGGGAGGCTCTGAGGTAAGAAAGGTAAGAAAGAAAGGACAGGTTGAGGAACTAAAGGTCCAATGAGAATAAGAAGTGTTGCTGTTGCTTGTTGGCACCCACTCCTCCGTGCAGGTGCTATGGTACAGGGAAAAGATGGTGCGTGTAAGGAGGTTGGTGGTGAGGGACACAGATTAAGATGTGGCTCGCTGTCTACTCATAGTCATAGCAGGACTCTAGAGCACCTCTGTGACGCCATGGTGCCTGACACAGCATCTAAATAGGTTCTGCCTGTGCTGAAGAGGATGCGCTTAATCCTGCTGAGGATGCTAGGGAAGCCTCTGCAGGGCAACTGACCCATCAATGTGGACAGGAGCTAATATACAGAGAGGCCCAGAAATGGGAAGGCAAGGGATATTCTTCTAGGTTTGACAGTACTATTTGGCTGAAGCCTAAGATCTACTATAGCTCCCAGTCTGGCTCTCAGAGTGCCTTGGCATAGTGCAAAGAGGTCTAGGAGTGTTTGGTGGGAGAGGAATGACATGATACCCAGGTGTTGATTAGCTGGGCAGACAAGAGGAGCAGGAAGATGGGTCACAATCCTCACATGGAGGTGGTGGCAAGGGATAGGACCAGGAAGTACCCCACAGGTTAGATGGGCAGACTCCAGCACCTCATTCGATACGGGGAAGGAGCATAATGATTTCCCAAAGGACATTGAAAAGTGGCTCAAATAAAAGGCTGGGTCACTGGGTTAACGTGTTTTCTGTCTGGACCATCAGCTGGGCATCTAGGTAGAACAGCCCTGATGCTCTCACCCAGTTGGCTTCTGTGAAATACCCAGGAGGAATGGGCAGCCAGTCCTGGCAGAGACACCCATCCCTCTGCCTCCTGGCTCCCTCTGCTGGAAGCTTTAATGCACACATTCCTGAGCCCACAGGGGAATTATTTTAATAACTGGTTTTGTGTTTGTTTCAGAATCTGGGGTGGACAGATGCATTTAGTAAGCATTCCATAAACAGGATTCCTGAAGACAGTGCATGCTCCTTCCCCTTCCCTGCCCATCCCTAGGTCCTCTGTGGCCTATCCTGGCCTCTTGTCAGAGCCCAGAACTTGCCTCAAAGCCCACTAAATCTTGGCTATGTCCCAGGGCAGAAGGCCCACAGCCTACAGGCCCACATGGACCACCCACCTGACCAAAGCCACAAGTAATGAAGACCCTTACCAGGGAGTTCTTCCAGCTTATGACCCCTGTACCACCCCAGAAGGTCAACAAACCTCTCTAAAACCAGGCGGTTTACAGTCTCACTGTCCACTGGTGGCAGGTTCAGGGTTTCCTGCAGCATCGTTAGCTTTTTTTTCAGGCTCTTAGGAAAGGAAAGAGAAGAGTGTGAAAGGAAGGCTGAAGCAGGAAGTCCGGAGAGACGGCCAAGGACATGAGCAACATGCCTGCTGGGAACAGACCAAGGCCTGAACCCCCAACATCAGGCTCAGGAGGCCAGGACTACCCAGCCTCAGAATCCTCTCTGGGGAAGCCTCTCCTCTGGTGACCCTGGGGACATAGGTACAGGACAGGTGTCTGTCCCCTACCAAGGAGGCCCAGGCTCCAAATCAGGGCCAAGGTGCGTATCCTAACCCACTCTGACCCAGCAGGATAAAGGGAACCCAGAACCACTGCCACTGACTGGGACACAGATTCCCAGGCTCTTGGAGGAAACACGAAATACTCCTTATTCCCGTCTGGCCAGGGATGTCACTTACCACGATTTCCTTGTCAGCACTCTGTAAGTCCTTCTGTGCTGACCTCAGTTCCAACCTTGTTTGGTCTAGTTCAGAGTAGACTGTCTGCAACTGCAAGAAAGTGTAGGGAGTAAAGGACAAGCCAACAGGTGGCCCTAGGCTCTGCCCCCACCTGCTGCCACCAGTGCATGCTCAAAGGAGCCCAGGGTCCAGAAGAGTCTGAGGACACATGCAGAGACCCTTGCCTTATGGGGCACGGCTTTAAACTGTCAATGTCCCTCTGGAGCTACCCAGGAACAAGGGCTTCGTTCTATGCCCAACAGCCCATGGATGTACTGGGCCCATAAATAAAACAGCTGTGCTGACTGAACCAGATTCCAAGTAGGTTCCTCCTACTCGGGGCCCAGTACAAACACAGGCCTCTGACACTGTCACCTTAGGGATCTGTGCTCTCCAGCCACCTGTGAGGTGCCCAGGAACCAGGAAGAATATAGGGGAGCGTAAGCGTGCACGTATCGGGAGCGATGCCTGCGTGACCTGCCACCCTCGGTGGACAAGCCACAGAGCCAGAGCCAGAGCCCGAGCCCAGCAAGGCCCGGTAACCAGTCTCTGTGAATCACCCAACAGCCCCATGGAGTCCGTTGCACCATCAGGCCCCATGGCTTTGCTCAGGAGACAGGAATGAGCATGACAAAAAGCCACCTCTCCCCTCATCCTCTGCTCCCCACTGTTACCTTGCTTTTGGAAGAAAATAAGTCCTTCTTCAGTTTGTCAGCCAGCTCCCCTGAGGCCTTCCGTGCCTCTTTTAGATTCTCATACTCTCTACAAGGGGGCCAGGGAAAGAGACATCAGAATAGGACACCCTGCTGGTCAGACTGGGCCATAGCACCAAGCAAACATAAAGCCCGGGCTGTCCTCTAGGCCAGCACCTGAGCACAATAGGGTGGTGTCATGGAAGATCCTGCAAGGAGAGCTGGGGAGTCCTGTCCCCTGCCTGTCGTGCAGGCACTGGTGATTTGAGAGGGTGTGCAGGAAGCCCTGCCCTCATTAAGGCCTCACAAAGAGGCCCCCTACCTCATCTGTCCCCTCACAGGGGACATCTGGGATCTCCGTGTTTGTAGGCCAAGTTGCCCCTTTCCCCCAACCTCACCTCCACAATAGTGGAGAATCTGAAACAAGTTTCTGATGCAAATCAGGCAGAGTCAATAAGTGCTGGTGGGAAACAGGCTCCATTTATCATGATGGGGCTTACAGAGCTCAGAGAGTGGTGCTGAGCCTCTTAGAAATAATACTTCTAGGGGCGCCTGGGTGGCTCAGTTGGTTAAGCATCCAACTTCAGCTCAGTTCATGATCTCACAGTTCGTGGGTTCGAGCCCTGCGTTGGGCTCTGTGCTGACAGCTAGCTCAGAGCCTGGAGCCTGTTCCGGATTCTGTGTCTCCCTCTTTCTCTCTGACCCTCCCCTGCTCATGCTGTCTCTCTCGCTCAGAAAAAAATAAAACATTAAAAAAAAAAGAAAGAAATAACACTTCTAATTCACACTCATTCTCTCAATAACCCTATGTGGCAAGTTATTATTATCTCCATTCAGAAAGCTGTGGGTCAGAGGCTAAGAAACTGGCTCCTGGCCACATTGTGAGAGGTAGGGTCAGGGTGCAAACTGAGGCAGCATAGCTCCTGAGCTTGCTCCGTAACTCTGCCTGCCCTGCTGTGCAAGAGATGGACAGCAGACGGACTAGATGCCATGGCTTAGCTCCTGGGCTGGGTCAGAGGGGCCAGAGTACACACTTCTTGAGGGACACACAGTACACGGCCAGTTGCTCCACCGCTGACTGTCCAACACCCATGTCTCGGATCATCTCCTCCACCTCGGGCCGCTGGCTCTGGAGTAGGAGCTCAATCCTGAAAAACACCCAGCCCACGGCATTTAAAATCTGGAGGCTGATGGGTAGGTACCCAGTACAGCTCTGCTTCCCTTTGCTGCTGTTGCTATGGTGACAGCCTGGGCTGTCAGCATGCTCTAGCAGGCGGGTCTACCCAAAGAAAGGCCCCACAGCAGAGCTGAACACAGCTGCAGGGATGCTGCTGGGGAAAAATGGGTGCTGACGGGTCCTCAAGGTCAGGGATCCCTAGAGAAAGGTTTTTGGAGCAAAACACCGGCCAGGTCATCAGGCCACAGGCAACAGGAACAGGAAGGAGTGAGGCAAGCACCCCCCCATGGGAAGGAGAGGTCGAGCAAGGAGACCTATACCCATACCCAGCTTGCCTGAGCCCCATGTGGCCTATGGAGATTTGAATCACAGAGGTGACCCAAGCCCCCTGTAGTCCTGAGAGTTGTGGCACTTGGGAGCCATAGGAGCAAGGGCAGAGGGCGGTCCCCAGGTCCTAGCTCACCGTTCCATGGTCTTCATCTTGCTCCTGAGCCGGCGGGCCTCCTCCTGTGCTTGTTTGGTCTCGTCCTGCTGCTGCTCCAAGTACTTCATCTGCTTCTGAAGGGCAAACACATCCACACAAACCTGTTGCTTGGACGATCCCAGGGACCACAGCTAAAGTCATTAGGAGAACTCTACTCTAGAACTGTCTCCTTTTCAAAATGCTGATAACCATGTGTACCTAGCCCCCAGGGAAGAAGGTGCCTGGGCCCCACTCTGGCTTGTGCTTTTTCTGCTATGAGGCCCTAGGCCCAACTGTTTCCTCACCTCCCTGCTTGCCTCCTCCTGAAATATGTTACTGCAGGCACAGCCCACTGCCATCATCTACAGGCCCATTGTGGGCTGCCAAGGTCCTATGACTTAAGGGCTCATGGTGCATATTGTATAGGAATATGAAGAAACACAGATCCAGGCCTCACTATCCACCATCTAGACCCTTGGACAGTTATCAGGGTAGAAGAGATGAGACAGAAGCAGCTGGCCAGCCTGTTCTCAGCACAAAACCACTCCATCTCTGACCTGGGAATGTCATCAAAGAATCCTGCTCTGCAGCTAGGTACTGATTCACTCCTTCCCTCCCACTGGCCAGGCCATGTGATTCCAGCCCAGCCACCAAGCAGGAACAGAGACAACGAAAACCCTGGGGCCCTGTCTATTCACAAAGATGGCTCCCTTTCCCTTACAAATGGCATCCAGCAAGGACTGCTCCTTCCTACGAGGCCAGCATATCAATTGTGGGTTCAGATCAATCGCCTCATGCCCCTTAGAGAGCAAGTGGCTCACCAACCCAGGCTGATACAAAATTCATCTGGGTCTAGAGCTGCTTGCTCTGCAGGCTTTGATCTGCCTGGTCAGCTCAGCACAGCCTACTTCAAAGGGCCCCTGCTCCTCCCTGGGATGCTGTTTGATCTGGCTCCAGAGAGCAGCCCAGCCAAGGACTAGATGCTAATGGAAGGTTCTTCTGTCTGGCTTCATCAGTGGAGTACAAACCACTTTTGGAAACAAGGTCCAGCCTCACTGAGGTCTTGACTGAGCAGCCCTTCCACAAAGCACTGGGAAGTCCTCAGCTGTTCAAACTACCTGGTACAAAATCCAGGAGTACACCCAATCTGGCCCTTTGCTTATGGGCTGGATGGGTACAATATGGGAGGCCTGGGAAAAAAGGGATTTGCCTTCATATTACAACTGCATAAATGAAGGTAATGACAAAAGCAGAAACAGAAGCTAAGCCTAAAGTGGTAAGCCCAGGATCAAGCTATGTCTCCCAACCGACTTATGCCCATAGAACCTGGGAACCAACCTTTAGGGTGGAGCATAGCATTTCGGCCTTGTCTAAGGCCTTCTGCAGAGATTCCACAGTGGCGTTGCGCTCTTCCAACGTGTCCCGCAGAGTGTCAATGATGGCCTGGCTATCTCTTTTCTCCTTCTCTGGAATGAGGGGGGAGGGGGGAGGGGGGAGGGGAGGCCCGTTTACCCATCAGCATAAGAACCTGAGACCTAAGGCTCCAGTACCCCACCTCAGAGCCAGGTAAGGAACAAGTCTCAGGTCAGCAGTTGGATGGCCTGCTTCTCTCTCTGGTATGCACCAAACCAGGGAAGCTGAGCCAGAGTTTCTTCATTCAGGGGATGAGACCCTCTTTCTGCTACTTGGAACTACTTGAGTAAAGATTTCAGTGCTCCTCACTCCCATGAGTGTAGTTATCTAAGAACTCAAGCAGGATTCCAGCCAAACTCAGCAGCCAAACCCTCTCCTACAAATACTCTGTCCCATTAGGTAGCTCCCTCCCAGTCTGGGTCCTGGGCAGGAAGCCTCAGACAAGAAGAAGCCCACCTAATCTAGGTGGACAGCTTTAGGCACCTCCCTTTCCTCTCCTTTCTTGCCAATCACAAGACCTGGCAAAACTCTTGGAATACAAAACAGGGAGAGGTCCTAGCTCCACCAGAAGGCTGGAGGCCTTCCTCCCAGGGCCTCTCCCTCCAGCACCTAGGTCAGGGACTTCCCAGGGCCCCCAGTCTCCTAGTAACTCACCTTTCTGGGAGAGCTGGGCTCTGATATTATCCAGTTCATTCTGCAAGGCAATATCCACAATAAGCAGCAGGAAGGCATCAAAGCTGGCTTCCACACAGCACCCCAAAAGGCATGCAGGGAAATCCAGGAGGGAACAATGAGGTCTGTAGGTCCAGGGAGGCACAGACTCTGCTGTATGTCCTGGGCAAGCTAAGCCAACTGTGTAGAGATACACCTTGCTTTATCTCTATCCTTTTTTGAAGAATGGGTGAGGTAAAGGAAAATAATCTCGGGTAGAGAACCCTGGGACAGGGAGCGAGGCAGAACAGGGGCAAGAGGAGTGAAGATGGACCTGTGTGATCAGTCTCACAGCAATAGCTTCCATCATTTCCTTGGCCCTGACCCTTGTTGGCCTGACCCTTCCCCTCTCCGGGCTTCAGCTGCACTCACTGGGACACAGAGTTGGGATGGCCAGGGACCTTGGGTCGTCACTCCTTCTCTCCACCCTTGCTTCACAGTCTGCTTCTCTCCAAGCTCTAAGCTGGCTTTGTGTACCACGAATCTTCCAACCCCAATAAGGTAGATGATCTGGGACAACTCTATTATCTCTGGATGAAACCTCACATATGTTAGGCCCTAACCCGACTATTCTGAGGGTCAAATGAAGATCTCAAAGCCTGTGCATAAGTTACACAGCTACTGCCATAGAACCACTGAGAGGCTGGGGTAGAACTGAGCCCAGTTTCCATTCAGGAGTTCAAAGCACTCAACATCCCCGTAGGCAAGAGAAGTACCTACTGCATAAGCAAGAAGACCAGACTCTGCAGAACTGAAAGGCTTGGCCAACGGTTCAGGATGGTAGCTGGATGAAATCCAGGCAAATCTTCCTCCAGATCACCTTTCTCGGGTCAATACAAGACTCAGAATTTTCCCTGTGACCAATACTAAAACCCAGCCCCAGGTGGGTGGATAAGCCCCCTGCTGTCAAAAATCCTCACCCAGCACTCTGGGGACTCTGGGGCAAAAGCTTTTGGTGGCTGGGCTGGTCACTGTGGGAAGAACAGCCTAGAATGCAAGAGGTGGGTAGAGAAGGGCATGCATGGGTTGCTGGAGAACAGACACCAGCCCAAAGCTCCTCCAAGTCCCCTGGCTTTTTTTTTTTCTTTTTTTTCTTTTTTTTTACACCTGGCAGGATGCCTTCCAAGCCCTTGCTCCAAACTACTCAAGACATTGCCTCTCTCTCTCCTAGATCTGGCTTTAAAAGCCAGAAAGAAACGAAGCTGCCTTTGTTGTCTTTATCACAGGGAGGATGCGGCTTAAAACCAGGAGCAGTTACCATGACAATGAACATGTTGCTTTAAGCACAAAAGCTCTACATTCTTGAAGCAATGAGGTTCCAAGGACATCATAGTACCCTGGGGCCAAAGCCAAATGAACCCTGGACTGACAGATGCCCAGCAAGTTAACCCTCAGAGTCCAGGTTCACTGCAAACCCCAGGTTTCTGCCAATCTAGCCCCCTGGTACACAAAGAAAGCTAAATCTTGGACTTGAGGGGAAGAAGTATAGGAGGGAATCCACCCATTCTCCCCTGCAGCGTGGGTTTCTACCCTGGCTCACATCTTGATTCCAGGTGTTCTGCCCTCTATTCCTGGTCTGGGAAAGACTCAAGCATCTGGATATATACCAAGCTTTCTCACAGTTTTGAGGCACAGCCAGGTTTGTGAATAGTGGGTCCACACATCTTCCCTGTGTGGACTATAGGAGTTTTCTAATCTGTCCAAGCAGCAAAGTCGGCTGGGAAGGATGGCTGTAGAACCTCTGCAAGGTGAGAGAAACTCAGGAGAGATGCTTTGGCCTTTGATGGGAATTGCTCTGAAATCCCAAAGGGAAGGTTCATGGTCAAGAGGCTCCCTTCTTCCCTAACAGTGTATTTCTCCAATGACTGGGTCTTATCATCACTTTTCCTCTGCTCTCCTCCCCTCTGCCTTGAAAACTCTACAAAATCTCCCTCCAGACTCCATTGCGACACTCTAGGTACCCACCCTGGGTGGGAGCAGAAAGCAAATTCTCAGAGGACTTGGAGTTCAGTAGAATGACATAAATCCCAGGTACCTTTAAGAATTCTGCATCTAAGATACTCTCCTCTTCTTGGGCAAGGTCAAAGAACAGCTTATTGATAATGGTTCTTCTGCCAACCTGGATGGAAGGACACAATAGAGTATGAGTGTATAGCTGGGTCATTAGCAAAGACAAGGATATACATGCAACCTAACATGCAGCCAGGCCTATTCTCGGGCCCAGCTTTTCACAGCACTCCCCTTGGAATCACATGAACTCCCTAACCCTACAGTTTCCCTAAGCTGGTGCCACCGCTTTAGTGGTTACTAAAGTCATGCCACCAGAAACCCATGTGGTAACTGCTCAAAAGATACCCCAACTCTAAGTGCTTTGAGGAAATGGGGAAAGGCAGGGAAGGAGGCCAGATCTACCTAGGTGAAGCCTGGGCCAGGCAATGAGTCCATCTGCCAGCCATTCATGGGCATAAGCCTCCGGAGTCATTCAAAAGCACAAGTAAGGTTTAATTAGCCTCAAACCATGAGGGTCCAAAAAGGTCAAAGACATCTCAGTTTCAGAGATCTTTCCTTATTCCTGCTCCCTGGCAAGGAAAAGATATCTTCAGCTGAGATGTTTTCACCCCACCACCCTCACCTGGATTCGGCACTGTGGGCAGGTCCGACTTGGTGCTGTCTCAAACCACTGAATTAGGCTGGAATGAAAAGCAGAAAAGCAGACTGGTGAGTCCTTGCTTGGGTAGAGACATACAGACCAGGTAGCCACTCCAACCACAACAGAGTCTGACTTGTTCTTTCTTGACCCAGAGCCTGCCCACATAGGAGGGCAGTTACCACAGGTGGTATAGCACATCCCATGAGGCCTGACTGGGACAAGCACTCTGACCAGTTGGCCCTTTGTTTTTGGCCCTGTTGGTGTGGCCCTCATTATCCCTCAGCTGCTCATTTAAAAACATTCTAGGCTTGGACTAGGGAGTAGCAGTCAAAGCACAGGGTCCCTCAGAGATGGGGATTCTAATAACATGTTCACTTTAAGCTAGATTCCAAAGGGCTACACTTTCAGAGTAAGGGTAAACTAGAAGTAAATGCAAGTAGTGGTAAAAATAAAAGACTGTCTAGCTTCTCGTCATCGATCTGAGCAGTCCAACAAAACCTCAAGCCTGAAATTTTAATTAGTCTCCTACAAGTAGACTTTCCCACCTGGGAACAGGGGAAAACAGAAGTCTTTCTGGAAGATGATACCATCATCCCAGTCCTCAAAGTTTTTCTGGAAATAATTTTTCATAGGGGTGTCTGGGTGGCTCAGTCAGTTGAGCACCTGACTCTTGATTTCGGCTAAGGTCATGATCCCGGGGTCATGAGGTCGAGCCCAATGCCAGACTCCACACTTAATGTGGAGGAGCCTGTTTAAAATTCTCTCTACCCCCAACTTGTGCACTCTAAAAAAAAAAATTCATACACTATGTGCAAGTTATAATCAAAGCTAGCCATGCACAGTGGAATACAATACAGCAATGAGAATGACTGAGTCTACGATGAAGAACAATATTACAGATGAATCACATATACATAACATTGAAGAAGAAAAACCAAATACAAAAAAGGTATACTGTGTATGACTCCATTTACATAAAGTAATGCTTTAGTTTTTTAAAAGTAAAGTCATACAAGGAAAAGAGCATTACAAGTGCAAACCAGAATTTATCCACAAAGACTTCAGATATGGGAATTGTCAGATACAACATAACACATTATGCTAAAGAAATAAAAATCAAAATTGAAAATATCATTAGAGGGGAGCCTGGCTGGCTCAGTCAGTAGAGCATGTGATTCTTGATTTTGGGGTTGTAGTTAGAGCCTCATGTTGGGGGTAGAGTTTACTTTAAAAAAGGAAAAAAAGGGGGTGCCTGGGTAGCTCAGTTAAGCATCCAACTTCAGCTCAGGTTATGATCTCACGATTCATGAGTTCAAGCCCCGTGTCGGGCTCTGTGCTGATAGCTCAGAACCTGGAGCCTGCTTTAGATTCTGTGTCTCCCTCTCTCTCTGCCCTCATGTTCTGTCTCTCTCTGTCTCAAAAATAAACTATAAAAAATCTAAATAAAAATTTTTTTAAGGAAAAAAAGGGGCACCTGGATGGCTTAGTTGGTTAAGCATCTGACTCTTGATTTTAGCTCAGGTCATGATCTCACAGTTCATGGGTTTGAGCCCCACATCCGGCTCTGCACTGACAGTGCAGAGCCTGCTTGGGATTCTCTCCCTCTCTCTCTGCCCCTCTCCCAATTATGCATGTTTTCTCTCTCTCTCTCTCAAGAATAAATTAATTAAAAATAAATAAATACACAAAGGGGGGAAAAAAGAAAATATCAGTAGAGAACTACAAAATAAAAGGTGACATGGCAGAATTTAATAAGAACCAAACAGAAATACTAAAACAAAAAATGGCCAAAATCAAGAATTAGATGGATCAGTTTAATAGCTCTTTAGGCACAGTTGAAGAATTAGTAAAATGAAAAGATAGGTTAGAGAAAACATTGAGAATTAAAAAGATGGAAAAATGGGGGTGCCTGAATGGCTCAGTCAGTAGAGTTTGTGGCTCTTGATCTCAGGGTAGTGAGTTCAAGCTCCACATTGAGCATGGAGCCTAAAGATAGAAAAATATATTAAATATTATAAAAGATATAGAAGATACTGTGAGATCTAGCATACATATGATAAAGAGCTTCAAAAAGAAAGTATTAGGTAGAATTATAACCTTTCCCCAAGAAGTCTATGTCCTGGGGCGCCTGGGTGGCTCAGTCGGCTAAGCGTCCAACTTCGGCTCAGGTCATGATCTCATGGTTCATGGGTTCGAGCCCTGCATCGGGCTCTGTGCTGACAGCTAGCTCAGAGCCTGGAGCCTGCTTCCGATTCCGTGTCTCCCTCTCTCTCTGACTCTCCCCTGCTCACGCTGCTTCTCTCTCTCTCTCTCTCAGAAATAAATAAAACATTAAAAAGAAGAAGAGGGGCGCCTGGGTGGCTTAGTCGGTTAAGCATCCGACTTTTGCTTAGGTCATGATCTTGCGGTTTATGGGTTCGGGCCCCGCGTCGGGCTCTGTGCTGACTGCCAGCTCAGAGCCTGGAGCGTGCTTTGGATTCTGTGTCTCCCTCTCTCTCTGACCCTCCCCTGCTCACGCTGTCTCTCTCTCTCTCCTAAAAATAAATAAAACATTAAAAAAAAAAAGAAGAAGAAGAAGAAGAAGTCTATGTCCTAATTTCTCAAACCTGTGAATGTTAACTTACGTGACGAGAGTAATTTTGCAGATGTGATTAAGGATCTTGAGATGGGGAGATTATCCAGGTGTGCCCCCACGTAATCACAAGGGTCCTTAAGTTAAGCGTCAGAATCATACAAAATCTGAAGAAGTAACATTGCTGGCTTTGAAGATGGAGCCATAAGCCAAGAAAGGTATATTCCCACATTGACTATAACCCAGTAACCCATTTTGGACTTCTGACCCCTGAAACTACAATATAATAAATTTGTGCTTTTTTAAAAGCACTAAGTTAGTAGTAATTTGTTTTAACAGAAATAAGAAGCTAATATGAAAAGAAAAGAGATAATGGGATAAAAGCAATACATGAAGATGATAATAATGGCTGATGACTTTTCAAAATTAAAGAAACCATTCCATAAGTTAAAGAAATATAAGGAATCCCAAACAGTATAAGTAAAAATGGTAACAAAAAGAGACCTGAGGTGGCTATTTAAATCAAAAAGGTTACAAGAGACAAAACCAAAAATATATTAAAAGGGGCACCTGGGTGGCTCAGTTCACTAAGCCTCCAACTCTTGATTGCAGCTCAGGTCATGATATCACAGTTCATGAGACAGAGCCCCAAGTTGCGCTTGGTACTGGCAGTGCAGAGCCTGCTTGGGATTCTTTCTCTCCCACTCTCTCTGCCCTTCCCCCCATGCATCCCCTTCTCTCAAAATAAATGATCTCCTTTTCCCTCTCCTTCTGCCCTTCTCCCTTGTTCCCATTCTCTCTCTCAAAATAAATAAATAATAAAACATATATGAACCTAACAACAAAGAACAAAAATATATGAAAGAAAACTGGACAGAAGTAGAGAACAATAGACAGTTCTACAATAAAAGTTGAGGAGGTCAATACCCCACACTTTTAATAATGGATAGGACAATCAGATAATCAATAAGGAAATAGAGGACTTCAAAAACACTATAAACCAACTAGATCAAACAGACAAATACTCCATCCAATAATAGCAGAATACACATTCTTCTCAAGTGCACATGAAACATTTCTCCAGGACAGACCATACGTTGGGTCATAAAACAAGTATTAATAAATTTTAAAAGATTGAAATTACACAAAATATCTTTTCTTTTTTTTTATTTTTTTTTAATGTTTTATTTATTTCTGAGAGAGAGAGACAGCGTGAGCAGGGGAGGGTCAGAGAGAGAGACACACACACACAGAATCTGAAATCTAGGCTCTGAGCTAGCTGTCAGCACAGAGCCCGATGCAGGACTTGAACCCACGAACCATGAGATCATGACCTGTGCCGAAGTCAGACGCTCAACCGACTAAGCCACCCAGGTGCCCCATTTTCTTTTTTTTTTTTTAATAGTTTATTTTTGAGACAGAGAGAAACAGAACATGAGTGGGGGAGGGGCAGAGAGAGAGGGAAACACAGAATCCGAAACAGGCTCCAGGCTCTGAGCTGCTAGCACAGAACCCGATGTGGGGTTCTAACCCACGAACAAACTACGAGATCATGACCTGAGCCAAAGTTGGATGCTTAACCTACTGAGCCACCCAGGTGCACCACAAAACATCTTTTCTGATCACAATGAAACAAAACTAAAAATAAGTAACAGGAAAAATGGAAAATTCATAAATATGTGGAAGTTAAACAACACACTATTAAACAACCAATGGCTCAAAGAAAAAACCATAGGGAAATCAGAAAATACCTTGAGATGAATGAAAATGAAAACACAACATACCAAGACTTACAGAATACAGTGAAAGCATGCTAAGAGGGAAACTGATAGCTATACACACACACACACCCATTAGTATAACTATTATGAAAAACAAAACAAAAACAGAAAATAACAAGAGTTAATAGGATGGGGAGAAATTGGGCCCTCGTGTATTGTTGGTAGGAATGTAAAATGGTGCAGTTGGCTTGGAAAACTGTGAAGCAGTTTCTCAAAAAATTAAACATTCATTCCACCTCTGGGTCTAACCCAAAAGAAATGAAAGCAGGGACTTGAACAGATACTTCCACACTAATTCATTGTAGCATTACTCATAATACCCAAAACATGTAAACAACCCAAGGTCCATTAACAGATGAGGAGATAAAATATGGTATTTCCATACAATTGAGTATTATTTAGTCATAAAAGGAATGAAATTCTGATACATGCTACACCATGGATGAATCTTGAAAACATTATGCTTGGGGCGCCTGGGTGGCTCAGTAGGTTAAGCATCCAACTTCGGCTCAGGTCATGATCTCATGGTTCGTGGGTTCAAGCCCTGAGTCGGGCTCTGTGCTGACAGCTAGCTCAGAGCCTGGAGCCTGCTTCCGATTCTGTGTCTCCTTCTCTCTCTGACCCTCCTCTGCTCATGCTGTCTCTCTCTCTCTCAGAAATAAATAAAAAAACATTAAAAGAAAAAAAAAAAAAGGGAAATTATTATTAAAAAAAAGAAAACATTATGCTTAGTGAAGTAAGCAAAACTCAAAAGAACAAATATTGTGTGATTCCACTTACATGAGGCACCTAGAATAGGAAAATTCAAGAAGACTACAGGGGTGCCTGGGTGGCTCAGTTGGTTAAGCTTCTGACTCTTGATATCAATTCAGGTCATGATCTCATGGTTCATGAGATGGAGCCCCACATAGGGGTCTGCGCTGACAGCACAGAACCTGCTTGGGATTCTTGCTCACTCTCGTTCTCTCTCTCTCTCTCTCTCTCTCTCTCTGCCCCTCCCCCACTTGCTCTCTCTGCTAAAATAAACACATAAACTTAAAAAAAAAAAAAAAAAAAAGGAGACAGAGGGTAAAATAGAAGTTTCCAGGGGCTGTGGGGGGCAGGGAATGGAGAATTGTTGTTTAATTGGCACAGTGTTTCTGTTTGGAATGATGGAAAAGTTCCGGAAATAGAAAGTGGTAATGGTTACACAGCATTGTGAATATACTTAATGCCAGTGAACTGTACACTTAAAAATGGTTAAAATCAAAGGCATCTTTGAGTTTACCAATTAAACATCATGAGCAAGGCTTAACCTCCCAAATTAAAAAAAATTATGGACAAGAAATTCTCGTCCATATGTCCAAGGAATGATGCAAGGATTTGATCCCTATAAGAATCTTGTGATAGATAGGGGCGCCTGGGTGGCTCAGTCGGTTAAGGGTCTGACTTCAGCTCAGGTCATGATCTCGCGGTATCTCCCTCTCTTTCTGACCCTCCCCTGCTCACACACTCTCTCTCTCTCTTTCTCTCTCAGAAAAAGCATTAAAAAAAAAAAAAGAATCTTGTGATAGATAGGTGTGTACAGACGACAACTACTAGGCAACAGAATACTGGAATAGTGGTAATAGGTGAGAATAGTATAATCATATTAGAAGCCTTGGAATGAGTATAAACAATGGCTGTGTTCACCAGAGAAATCAACTCCTTCCACTTGTTCCCTCTCCAAAGGGTCCATTTTACTATAATAGAAAAATTGGGTCATGTACATTTTCATATTGAACCTCTTTGCTTTCTTTTTTTTTTTTTTTAATGTTTATTCACTTATTTTTGAGAGAGAGAGACAGAGCATGAACGGGGGAAGGGTCAGAGAGAGGGGGAGACACAGAATCTGAAGCAGGCTCCAGGCTCTGAGCTGACAGCACAGAGCCTGACGCGGGGCTCAAACCCACGAACTGTGAGATCATGACCTGAGCCGAAGTCGAAGGCCTAACCTACTGAGCCACCCAGGTACCCCTGAACTTCGTTAAATAAACTCTTGTGATAGTCAAAAACAACTGAAATGGGAAATCTTACGTGATATATAATTTACCACAATAAAAAAAAAAAGGAGGTTTTACAATAGCTAAGGTATGGTAGCAACCCAAATATCTATTGATTGATGAGCAAAGAAGTAGTAGCATGCATGCACACACCCAAGCTCACACGCACACACACTGGAATATTACTCAGCCATAAAAAAAGAATGAGATCTTGCCAATGGTGACAGCATGGATGGACCTAGAGGGTATTATGCTAGGTGAATAAGTCAGAGATTTCACTTATATGTAGAATCGAAAAAACCAGACTCTTAAATACAATGAACAAACTGGTGGTTGCCAGAGGGAAGGTGGGCGGGGGGATGGTGAAATAAAGATAATTAAGAGGTACAAACTTCCAGTCATAAAATAAATAAGGGAGATGACAAATACAACGTAGGAAATATGCTCAGTAATACTGTGTATGGTAAAAGACGCTGACTACAACTATTGTGGTAAGCATCAAGTAATGTATACAATTGTTGGATCTAAATGTTGTACACCTGAAACTTACATAATATGGTACATCAATTATACCTCAAGTTTTAAAAAGGAGCTTTGAATCAGCCAGTCCACAGCTGCTAGGGGAATCTTTCCTCACCAGCTGTACATTCAATAAAATGGTCCTATAGGGTCAGCAGGACTTGATCAGGGAGCATCTCCTTGCCCTTTGATGTTAACTTGAGTTATCTGATATCAGCGAATAATTTGGGGTGTCTGACCCAGATTATCACTCTGAATAATGGCAAACCATCAAGCACACCATAACAAGTCGGATACCCAGAGGCTAACCAAACCAGGTTATCTCAAACAAATAAAAGGGCTCATTAACTTGGCAAAAGTTGTGCGCCTAGGTTATTCAATCGGTTAAGTGTCTCACTCTTGATTTCTCCTCAGGTCATGACCTCACGGTTCATGAGGTCAGGCCCCGCACCCGACTCTGTGCTGATAGCGTGGATTCGGCTTGGGATTCTCTCTCTTCTACCCATCTCCTGCTTGCTTTCTCTCTAAATAAATAAATAAAAAAGTTTTAAAAATCTTTAATAAAAATTTTGGCAAAAATTCACCTCCGACCACACTAATAGTTATAAGGTGATATCTCTTTGCAAGTCGACCAAGAAATTCCCTCTCTATCCGCACTGAACCAACTCTGTTTCCCCGGACTTGGCTCAGTTGTTACCTCCTCTGGGAATCCTGCCCTGACCTGCTTCTGCCTAGATAGGGAACCTACCTGGGGTCTCCGTCTATTTCCTTCTTAATCACCTCTTTGGGCTCCGCCCAGAGACCCCACAGTCCTGTAGCCCTAGGCCCAGCGTCCAGCCCCAACACAGCGTTCACTTACCACTGTAGGTGGAAGGTGTGGCCGCAGTGGATAGCGGCCACATCCCGGGAGTGGTCGAAGAAATCGGAGCAGATGGTGCACAGCGCACGGATAGGCATACTGATTGGTCCTAAGAGGCTCAGGCAGCCAAGAAAACCTCGACGGGTCCAGCTTCGCGATCGCACCCCCGCCCCCACCTCTCCGCAGGCTTCAAATTTGGCTCCACTGCGGGACTTCCGGGAGTGGACCGGAAGTCGTAGGAGCAACATGGAGGCGGGGCCTGAAGGTTGGGTCCAGATTGGACGAGCGATAGGGGGCGGGGCTTAACGGCCGTAGAGAATCCTGGGGCTGAGCGCGAACCTGCGTCTGTCAGCGGTAACTCCAGTGGTTGCGTTAAGGATTTGGCAGGTACCTGTAGCAGCCATGGCGTCGGCGAAGCCCTTTCTGGGGCAAGACACGGCATTATGCTCCTAAGCCAGATCTCGTGCGAGGAGCGCCGGGCACGGGCTCCTCAGCCCATTTCTCTCAGGACAGCCTTCTCTGCACTTCGTGAGTGTCGAGAAGACCGAAGCTGTAGGGGAATGGGACGATGGAGAGCAATCCCCTGGGCTCTGGGCAGTGCGCAACCGAACACCGGAAGCTCGTTATCCCCCCCGCCCCCAGCCGTCGGGTCTGAGTGATCTTAGAAAGATGGGCACAGGTCCTAACCCCTCAGGACATCCTAATCTCACTCTGGCTTTATCCAAGCAAGGAATGATGATCCCTCAGTTTGGAGGTGGCAAGGCCAGTACCCTGACTAGCTCTTAGCTCCCAAGAGGATCAGCATGCCTCCATACTGTACCAGGGTTGGAATTTTAGAAACCCAGATGCTTCACAGAACAGTGACTAACAAACCCTTTTTCTGATTTCCACATGAGAGAAGTTATCTTTGGAGTCCTCCCTGAGTAAGCAGCATCCCTGGTGAATTCACCTTGCCAAGTCAGAGCTGGAACAAGTCTTCCTAGGAGTTTTCATGGTTAACTCTTTTTAGCAGTGTTACTACCCTCTCCCCAGAAGAAACCTTATGTAGAGCCCCATGATATAAAGCTGATTTTTCCACCTGAAATAGACCCAGAGTGAAGTCCTTTGAGCCTATGTGGAAAACACAGGTGTTGTTCACAGGGAGGAATCAACACAAAGGGCAGCATAGAACTTTTCTGCAATGCCCACCCTGCACCCTCTCCCCAACTGAGGGAAACCCACTTTGGCCTTGGGCAAGTTATCTCCCTATGGTGGCTGCCCCATGGTGGGTTCCAGTTTCATGTCAAAGTCAAGACAAGGGCTCTTGTTCAACAGGTCTTGTCAGAACAGCAGCCCAGAGGTTATTCCTTGGCACAAGCCCAGAACAGGACTCCCCATCCATAAGGATTTCTAGAGTCCAGAGGACGTGCCACCATCATCAAGGAACACACAGTGGCAAAGGATGATCTGCACTCTCAGTCCAAGCAATCCTCATGGCACTGAGCACAGACCAATACCTGTGAACCTGCTCCCAGCCTCTTCCCTCCCCACTGTCTTCCAGGGGCCCCTCCCCAGTAAGACAGAGGAAGCAAAGGCGAGAGGATGGCCAGAGGCTTTGGCAGGGTGACATTTATTTGCCAGGTTCAGCAGGCACACAGCCTACCAACCTTCATACACCAGAGCAGACCCACAGGCATGCAGGGAGAAGGGCAGGACTGACACTGGAGTGCCGAGCAAAGGCCGGGACCAGTGTGGCTGCCTGCCCAAGCTGTGGTGGGGTCTGACAAAGGGCACCTGCCAGGAGCCTTGATCAGGAAACGGGGGAGCCTTATTCCACTTCCTCATCCCAGAAAAAGCAACTCAGAATGGCTCAGAGGCACCTGGGCCTCTCTTTAAGCCATGATAGAAGGGGAAGTGGGTCACAGATATAGAGGGGGTTCCTCTCTATTTTGTTGTTGAATTAGGAGGGCAGAAATCTTCCCCTGTGAAGGACAACCCCCTAAATCAGACTATGGGACACTGCCATGCAGCAGGCCCCCTGGGATGGAGAGGACTGTACACTGAACCCAAGAGACTCCATCAGAAAAGAGCCAGGGGATATGAGCCCTTCCTGTTTGGCTAAGGGTAAGGACCAAGCTAGGCTGGTGCACTATGTGCTGGGCCTGCACTCTGCCTTCCCAGTTTTCACTGCCACCTCCCAACTGTCCCTCCTTCCCCTTACAGGCTCATGAAGCTCAGGGCACAGGGCAACCCACTGCAGAACCCAGGAGGGCAGGAAATAGCACAAGGGTGTTGGTGAGAACTTTCCAGGGACAAAGATGGAAGCTTCTAACCCCCTACTCATTCTCTCTCACTTCTGAGGACCCATAAAACTACCAAGCAGTGCCCCCAACCATGCGACCAGTCTTGTCTTAAAGCATACTGCCCTAGATTTTTGCATTCTTTCTACAAGCCTGTGTCCATTCTTACAGCATCCCACATACCACAGGCACATACCTTCATGTGCAGGAGCCTAAGACCGCTGACAGGGCCTCGCTGGAGGACCAGCTCTCAGGGCAAGGCCACCCAAGTTTAGGGCCTGGGAGAGGATGGGACCTGCAGGGCCTGCCTGGGGAAATTGTGAGGCAAAAAGGGAAGGGGCAGGGGAGCAGGGACCTCCTGAGTATCCCTAGAGCAGCATCCCGCAAGGAACAGAAACTGGTGAAGCTAGCGAAAGACAGAAAAGCCACAAGGAATCCATGCAGGGGCTGGGGCCGGTCCTGCCTCTGGCCTGCCCACCACTCACGCACATACACACAGGAGATGAGACCGCTCTCCCATGGCCCCCAGACATGCCCCACACTGGGAGGCAGGGACAGGGGGGAGCAAGGGCATCATGCCAGTGACTCTATGTACAGTGAGAAGCCCCTCATCCACTCTCCCACCCTCCTGCCCGTCCCCTGCCCCACACCAGTGAGACTACCCACTCAGCTGGTCTCCTCCCTCCGAGACTCCTGGGCATAGCCAGCAGCCTCTTCCCCTTTACTAGAGGGTGGAGCCTGGCCTGTTGTGCCCCCGGGGGCTGTGCTGTCCGGCTGGGCCAAAGCCGGCTCAGGGGTGGCAGCTGCCTTGGTGGCTGGTGTGACACTGCTTTGGGTGGTGGGCACGATGCTCTCTTCTGTGGCTGGTGTGGCTCTCCCATCAGTGGCTGGAGTAACACTCCTGTCAGTGGCTGGAGTGATGCTCCCATCGGTGGCTGGGGTGATGCTCCCATCGGTGGCTGGGGTGGTACTGCCATCGGTGGCTGGGGTGACACTGCCATCTGTGGCTGGGGTGGAACTACGGTCTGCCGGGGCTATATTATCACTCTTTGCAGCAAGAGCGGCATCACCCGCTGTGGCTGAGGTGGCACTGCCCCCGAGGGCTGAGGCAGCTCCACTTGCAGCTGCAGCCCCGCCTGCAGCCCCAGCGGTGGCAGTGTCTGTGGCTGGGGCAGACTGGGCTGTAGCTGTGCTGGACTGCTCTGGTGCCCGGAGCCGTTTCATGAGGGTGGTCACTCGGACAGCCTTCTGAAAGGAGGGCAGTGGAGAGATGTTTAGAGTGAGGCTCAGAGAACCTGGATCTATTCCTTGGCAAAAGCCAAAGGCAGACCATTCCATGGCATCCCTAGCTGCCTCTGACCACTGCAGGGCCAGGGACCCAGCTATTCAACACACCCACTTAAAGTAGTGACAGTGGCTACAGCCACACCTGATAGCTGAAGAAATGCCTATGTGTGGCTGCAGGGGTGTGATATAGGCAAGAAACTGTGTGTGCCACTTGGGATCTGTCCAGGAAAGGGAGTCATGAAAGCCTTACCTTCCACTTAGCTCTGGCAAAGTTCTTTTCAATCTGGGCACAGACACCATCCTTGATGTTCTTATCAGAAGCAGCATTGCCAGAAATCCTAGAAAGGGTACAAGTGCACCTGGATCTGAGGTGGTATAGGCCTTCATGGAGACTGCCCAGTCTTTTTCTCTTAAGGTCCAGAAGTTACTAGTCAGGCCCTCTGGACTGGGCCTGAGCTCTGGGCACCTCCAACCCCTACTCAAAGCCTCAAGGATGGGGGCTACTAGATGTGAGGAGGACAGAGACCAGGGGAAATCCAGCCTCTCCTTCTGTCCTCCATGGGCCCTGCTCACCACTCATGGGAGATGGCCTCTTCTGCAGTGATGCGCTGGTCTTGCTCCACCTCCATCAGCCTTGTGACCAGGTCTTTGGCTGGGGACAAAGCCAAGGAGAGGTGAGGCATTGCCACCGCATCTCACTGTCTAAAGGTGATGAATAGGCTGGGAGGTAGGAGCAGAGTCCAGCAGAGAAGGCTGAGAGCAGGTCCCCCATACCAACCCTCCCTCTACCCACGCACTGGGCACCTCCTCACCTGCCTGGGAAATGTCATCCCAGTATGGAGAGTCAAACTCATAGTCACCAGCCAGGATCTTGCGGAAGAGGTTCTTGTCATGGTTCTCGTAGTCATCCTCCTCCACCTCCTCATAGAAAGGTGGGTTCCCTGAAAGCCTACATGGGGGCCAAAGGGCAGGGTCACCTAGGAAGGCCATGGACACAGGACCCCACCTGGCCTGGCTGCAAACCCATTCACTCACAGGATGTACATGATGACTCCAATGGCCCAGCAGTCCACAGGGCGTCCATACCGCTGCCGGCCTACCACCTCTGGAGCTGCAAACACAGTATCCATCTGGTAGTCAATATCAGGCCTGGCCAGGCCAGGGACTGCTCATACCCACTTCGTGGGCTGGAGACTTCCTTCCCCCCTACCCAGAGCCATTCCTTGAAGGCTATCTCCCACCCTGTCCCTGCCCCACCCCCTGCTTGCCCAGGTACTCGGGGGTCCCACAGGGCTCCTTGATGAGGCCATTCTCTAGCTTAGCCAGGTGGAAGTCGCTGATGACAATCTTTGAGTTCTTCAACCGATTGTAGTAAACCAAGTTTTCCAGCTGCTCCAGGCAGGAATGACATGTGGGTGGGCAGAGAAAGACTCCGTGAGGACCTCAGAGGCTAGACCAAAACCCCAAGGTGCTGCCCAACTCAGCCCCAAACTGGGTGCCAACAGACCTGGCTCCTGGCCTCACCTTGAGGTTCCTGTGCACGATCTTGAGTGAGTGCAAGTAGGCCACGGCCTCCAGGACCTGCCGCACCACGTTGCTTGTATCTCGCTCCGAGTAGTAGCCCTGGTCCAGGATCCAGTCAAACACCTCCCTCCCTGTGGCCCTGAGGGACACCAGCCCCTGAGCCCGCGTGGGCAGGATCGGGGGTGGGGCAGAGTATTTGGGCAGGCTGCTAGCTGGGCAAGGCATGGGGACCCAACACCCCAAGGGTCCAGAAAGGGGGTTTTCCCTGGTTGCAGAGGGAAAGGCCCTGGGTTCTGAGGAATCTGGGGACCCCAGACCCACACTCACAGCTCCAGGAAGATGAAGTACTCCTTGCGGGTCACAAACACATCCACCAGTTGCAGGATGTTGGGATGCTTCACCCTGGCAGCAGAGAGAGGGGTCAACAGTTAGGGCTGGATAAACCTCTAAAAAAGGCTCTGGTTGCTACCGTGGGCCACAGCAAACTAACTGGCCAGAGCCTGGTGCTGCTTGAGGCCACCTGCCCTTAAAACCGTTCCCTGCTACCTCCTATGCCACCCTACCCCAAGGCCTCACACTCACATCTTGAGGATGCCTATTTCGTTCTTGGCCGCCTTCCGCACCTTGCGGCCGTCCCGCTTCTGGAACTTCTTGCAGGTGTGCAGCTTGCCCGTCGTCTTGTCCTTGGCCCGGAAGATCTCACAGAACTCCTCACTGTAGCCAGCAAGCACCCACTCAGCCCTGGCCTCAATGTGGGCTGCCCTCTGTTCTCCTTTCCCAAGCCCTTGCCCACCCACCCTTGACCACAAGACCCAGCACTCACGTCTTGATGACCTGTCCCAAATCATATCTGTCAGTCACCTCCGATGGCTGGTTATAGTTCTTCTTATCGCCCAGAGTCACACACCCAAACGGCATTGCCAGGCTCTGAGCTGCAGGCAGGATGGAGTCTGGCTCAGCTGTACCAAACATGGAGGCTTCTCCCCACAGTATA